CTTACAGAATATGAAACTAACACCTGGAATGGCTTCTAGTATTTTGTCTTTTGCAAATGCCTGAATGTCAAAGGACAGATATCCAAAATACATAAAGTTCTCAAGAAACTCTACAAAAAAACTATTATAAAAAAACTTAATAGAAAACTATTAAGACAAACAAAATATGGGGGAAAAAAATCCAACAAAACATAGACACCTTTTCAAAGAAGACATGCAGACAGACAAGAGACATGAGAAAGTGATCCTCATAACTTATCATCAGGGAAATGAAAATAAAACCCACAGTGAGATATCACCTTACTTCATTGAAAAATCACATCAAAAACCAAGAAATCAATGCTATCATGGAGAAAATAGGACATTCTAACACTGTTGGTAGGAAATTAGATTATGACATTTTCTCAAAAGACTAAAATTGGATTCTCTATACAACTCAACAATTCCATTCTTGGATATTTACAAAATTTACAAAAATGCTAATTCAAAAGGAATTTTGTATTCCCATGTATATAGTAGCACTATTTACAATGGCCTACATATGGAAACTACTTAAATGCCAAACAAACAAACAAACAAAAAGCAGACAAGTAGATCAGGAAGGCTTGGCAATGGAGTACTGTATACAATGGGATATTGGAATAATTCCGAGGTGTAAAAAATATATATTTATGAACTATTTCATTTAGGACAGAATGGATGAAACTGGAGAGCATAGTGTTAAGCAAAATAAGTCATGAGGAGAAAGGCAAATACCAGATCACTTATACATGGAATATAGAGAAACAAAACAAAGGGACAGTCAAAACCAAACCAATAATAAAACCATGTCCTTTGATTACAAAGCTGAGGCATTCAAAGAGAGAGTGATGGGGTAAAATGGAGGAGGAATAGGACACAGTGGAGAATTATTGGGACACTAATGATGTATATAATGTGGAAAAATACATTTGTAAGTCTCAAATCCATAACCCCCAAAGCAAAACCAATAAAGCAAACCAATATTAGCTTAATAAATATTATTTGAACAGAAGACTATGTGA